GTACTAAAGTGCTGGACACAGATGACGTATGTACAGATTGTGATGAGTTGTATGAGCCCCTAATAAAATGATTATTTTAAAAATAATAATAATAAGAGTTTTGAACTTGTGAGGGGTTCCCCCACAGAACCTAATTTCATATAATACGTGATCAGTAAATACTTATTTTTTTACTGATGCACAGACTTAAATAATGCAATGAAATCTTTCATTCACAAAATGTTAAAGATTTACTAATTGCATTTCTTCTCACTGCCTCTCCTCATGGTCCCAGGAGCTTGTTTGGAATCTGTGTAGGGGTATGAGGTTCTTTGTGGAATAAATCTTAAGCTTGAAACTAAAAAAAGAAAAAGAAAAAAGCAGGTCATAGAAGGCTACATTAAGATGAGAATCGAGGGGTAGCAATACTGAAAACATGCTCCAAGCGAACACATTGACAAATCAACAGGAGAGTAGCTGAGCAATCGATGGCATTAAAAAAGGAACCAAAGAGAACTTCTAGAACTGGGAGATAGTAGAATCAACACCCAATAGTACATTGGAGATGATGAACGGAACGATGAACCAGAAAGCACGTAAGGTGAGTAACGGAAAATAGACTGAAAAAAGAAGTCAATGGAGCCTCAGGGACGTGTGGGGATTTTAAATAAAAGATCCGATGTTCAGTTGTTCAGTTCATTAGTCGTAGGAGGAGAAGAGAAAGAGTGCAGTGTGGAAAAAAAACCCCAAAAAACTAAATTTGGCAAAACATAAGCCTACAGATTTAAGAAGCTGGCCAAACTCCAAAACGGGATAAACTCAAGTTCACCTGATACTCAAGACACATAATCAAACGTTTGAAAATTAAATGGGCAGAAACATTGAAACTGACTAGAGGGAATCAATGCATTTCTTCCAGGTCTTACAGTCTAGAAGAACATCAACTCAAACGCAGTCAATGTCTCATGGAGAACCATGGAGATGAGAAGGAAGGGGCAACAATGTTTTCCAATGCTGTGAAAGGAAAGCACCATCCCCCACAAGTCTACAATCCAGCCAAAGTCAAGGGTAACGAACACCTTCTCAGAGGTAGAAAACTCAGCCTTTTGTCATTGGCAGGTCTACCCTTCAGGGCTCAAGGAAGATCAACCAGACAAGAAATGTTCATGGAGACTTGGCATTGCCCCCAGGAACCAACAGGGAACGTTCTGTAAGAGACCCCCTTTCCTGTCGTGCATTTCTTAAATCAACTTTGATGATTGAAGCAAATACTATGGCACCATTTGATGTCATGTTAATGTGTGTAACTGCTGAAGACCGAAACTGGGGGAAAAATTAATGCAAACATGAATCAAAGAATAGCAGAAATGACGAGACTCATCTTGAGATCAGATAAAGAAGTCATCAGAGCAAAGGAAATGACCAAGGACAAAGAGGACACTGTGTGATGATGAAAGAATCAAGCTCACCAAGGAGGTATCATCGAACCAAGAGAGTAAGCAAGAGGGTCAGAATTTAAAATGATACCCGATTTTGCGCTTTTCCCTGTGGACAAAAAAAGAAATGCCAACATCTCCCAACAATTGGGGGACAAATGAGGCAGTCTTCTACTTGTTCTGCTGTGGCCTCCTGGCATGAAGGTGGTCGCCCTGTTACAGGACTGACCCATTGTAGAGACTCCAAATACCCAGATGTTTTCCATTCTGTCCTCCAAAGCCTTCCCACCTCTCTCTGCTAGTGGTGATTTCCTAAGCATGTTTTGCTTGTGAAACCTACAAGAGAAAGTTAAAAAATTCTTGTTCTGGTGTTGATGGAGCTATGTGCCCTTGGTCAGGGGAGGTTAATCTTGATCAGAACACAGAGAACAAAATGCCACTATAAGAAACTGAGCACCAGTGGGCTCTTGTGCGTCCTCAGTAAATACTCGAAAATCAAGGCAGGGTCATGAGGGGAAGGTCTAGTGTCCCCGCTGCCCCCTCCGGGTTTTTGATAGGTGTGGTCCTGTGGTGGAATGAGAGCTTCGAATATAGACTCCTGGCCTTGGCTCCAGCCACATGCCATCATACATATGCATAGAGGCCTGAGCAGCTGATGGAAATCGATGTCTGAAGAGCCCACGCTCATCCTTGCCAGCCTCTAGGAACCAACCCGGAGCCAATGCACTCCTGCCCCTTGTTCAGTCCGCCCTCCTAGGGACCGGAAACTTAGCAGTGAACAAAGCAAACCCCAACCCCCAGCTTCAAGGTTTTCACTTCAGTGAACACAATTGAGTGAGTAACGACAGCTATTCCAGCGATGAAGCAGAGGCACACATTGACCTGAATGACTAAATAGCGTTGTGGAAGATGAGGTAGGAAAAGGTGCTATTGGAAACCGAGGAGGAACGAGTGATCGAGGATTCGAGGCAGGAGTTGGCACAGTTTGAAATAAGGTGGTCATGGAAGCCTTTGCTGAGAAGACCTTACTTGACAAAGACCTACAGCAGATAGAGAGGCAAACTGTGTGGTTGATTAACTGAGACCACTTGCCCCAGGAAGGACAGAGGCCCTGAGACAAGATTGTGCTTGGTGAGTTCTAGGAATGGCGGAGATCCACTGTGGCTGAAGGCGTCTGTGTGAGTGGGCGCGCTGTGGGGTGGAGGAGCTATGCAAGACCTTGTGGGCCTTGTTATTGTAAGGTCACTGGCTTTCTCTTTCAGTGACACGTAGGACCTCTAGTATACTCTCTGAGTGACCTGGGGAACCATTAGAGGAGTTGGAGCAGAAAAATACCAGACCTTTTAACAGCGTCATGTGACTTGTGTTAAGAAGTGACTGTAGATCGCTTCTCGGCCTTTTGGCTAATATCACGTGGAATAAGAAGTGTGTGTCGAAGAGCAAGAATGGATGCAAGAACCCTAGCAGGGCACCCTGCGATACTGTAGGCAGAAGTCATGCTGGTGTGGACCAGGGTTATGGTGAGACAACCCTGGATCCTGGGTGGAGTCTGGATACAACATGCAGGAGGCTCTGCTGCATTGAGTGGGGGTGTAAGACAACAGAGTTGAGAATGTCTCTAAGGCTCATGAAACTAGCAGCAAGATGGATGGGGCCAAGAAAAGCAACAGCAGCAAAAGAAGTCGTTTCATAGGGGGCAGGGAGTCGGGGCAGAAGATCCAGCCCTGACACTGGATGTCAGGACGACGAAGAGGATGAATGGGGAAGGGAGGGAGGTCCAAGGACACGATAAAGGTGCATCTCCAAAACCACTGGGAAGGAGTAGACAGAAAGATGAGAGAAACCCAGGTAAGTGTAGCATGCTGGATGCCACACGAAGACAGTGCCTGAAGGAGGAGGGGGTGACCAGCCAAATCCATGTAGGTTGTAGCAACACAAAACGCATCTCAAAAGGTACAGCTTCGAGGGGGAATGGGAGTAAAGACTTCCTTAGACTGGCTTTGAGGAAGAACCAAAAGAAACCAGAGACAAGGAAGAAAGCCAACTCTTAAAAGCACTTTTACTTTAAAGGAGAAAGGTTGGGTGATAGCTGGAAAGTCAGTAGGGGAGAGACCACTTCAGGTCGAATCCACCGTGTTTACGTTGCTAGTAGGAAAGGTCTCATAGGAGGAACAGAGTAGGAGATGCAGAGGGAATTTCAGGACCCAGATGCAGACAGGCGTGGAGGTGGGATGGAAACTCTGGAAGCTCTCTTCTGACTGCTTTCATTAAGTTGGCAAATTAAGTGGTCTTCTTAGCTCACCCAATTAACAAAAGCAAAGCCATGGCTGAGGGGAGATGCGTGGGTAGTGACAGGAGATAGGAGCCGTGTGAGAACGCCTTCTACGAGACGGAATGGAGGATCAGACATTTCAACAGTGCCACTAGGAAGCACTCCCTGGAGACTAGTGAAGAGTCCCAGGCTGGTTCGAGTGGTTACACACCCAGCTGCCACCCAAAGGCTGGAGGCTAAAGCCTACCCAGCTGTACCTTGCAAGGAAGGCCTGGCAATGTATTCTGAAATCTGTGAAGTGCAGTTCTACTCTGCTACCTGTGGGAATCTGAATTGATTCAACAGCCCATTTTGATTTTGAGAGACTACCCAACCCACCCAACCTAACCCAACCACTGCCATCGAGTTAATTCAGCTTCAAAGCACCCAGGATAGGGTTTCTGAGGCTGTGACTCTTGACCAAAAAAGTCAGCCTCATCTTTCTCCCAAGGAACATCTGGTGGATTTGAACTGCTGACCTTATGATTACCAGTCCAATACTTACCCAACAGCACCAAATTTCTAGAGCCAGCAATAACGTCTTTGTGCTTTCCTCCCGGCACTTTGAGCTGCCCTGATGCAGCTCCAGAGCAGGGGAGAAGCAGGTGTAACCTTAGAGGCTCACCAACACCTGCCATGCGCCAGGCCGTCCGCTTCCTCAGCCCGTGTGTGTCTAGTTAGAAACCCCTTTGTTCCCGAGGCAGCTCCCATGATCTCCCATAAGCCACGCTGGATGGCATGAGTGACAGCCTGCCTAAAAGAGCTGCGAGTCCTCTGTGCGTCATGGGGTCTTGGATCAAGTGTCTGCCCGGTCATGTCCCCTTACCAGCCACCACTGCCATACGCTTTCCTTGCATTGTCTCGGCATCTTCTCTGATGTCACTCCCTTGAGGGATGCTCACTGCACATCCAGGTGGATTTCTAACGCACGAGGCCTCTGCCCATTTCTCACTGTGCTTCTTCCATGTGCTTCCAGGTCTGTGGCCCGCGGGTGTTCCGGATGCCGGTGTAAATGAACAGTGTGGCGATATTCTCACCAGCAAACGGTTCATGCTGGACATGCTGTATGCCCATAACAGAAAGCCCACAGATGAGGAGGAGAAGGAGGAGGGCGAAGTGGGGAGGACTGAGCAGGGGCCGGAGGCGGTAGCCAGCCTCGCCAGCAGAATATCCACCCTGCAGGCCCACTCTCAGGCCCAGGACGAGAGCGTCAGGAGGGTGGACGTGGACTGTCTGGACAATCGGGGCAGCGTGAAAGCCTTTGCAGAGAAGTTCAACAGCGGGGACCTGGGGAGAGGAGGGTCCGTCTCTGCCGATGACGAGCCCAATGACAGGGTTCCTGAGAAAACCACAGCGCCACCAAAGACGGAGTCTGACTACATCTGGGACCAGCTCATGGCCAATCCAAGGGAGCTGAGGATCCAAGACATGGATTTCACCGACCTGGGGGAGGAGGATGACATCGATGTCCTGGACGTGGACCTGGGTCACAGGGACACCCCCACCACCCCTGTTGGACAGCGTGCCCCCCCCTCCAGTCCCCGGTAATTTATTGGCTCCTCCTCCAGTGTTCAACGCTCCTCAGGGCTTAGGGTGGCCCCAGGTACCCAGGGGTCAGCCAGCATTCTCCAAGAAGAAGAAGACCATCCGTCTGTTCTGGAACGAAGTCCGGCCCTTTGAGTGGCCGTGTAAAAACAACCGCCGCTGCCGGGAATTCCTGTGGTCGAAACTGGAGCCCATCAAAGTGGACACGTCCAGGCTGGAGCACCTGTTCGAATCTAAATCCAAGGAACTGTCTGTCACCAAGGTACCTACTGCTCCCAGCCCCCATGCTTCCCAACTGGCAGCGTGGCTTCTCTCCATGCGGGTAGGGTAGGGGGGTGGTGGTACGGAAGGGGGACAGAGTGTGTTCAAGACCCTTCCTTGTGGTGTGGTAGCCATTTGGTACAAGTGTTGATGTGTGGTGCTGGCAAGTGGCTTCTGACTCCCAGGGACCCTGTAGGTTGGGGTAGAACTGTTAGATCGGCTTTGCCGGGCTGCCATTTTTAAGGAAGCCAATTGCCAGCTCACAGGTTGGCTCGGATTCCCAGCCTCTCGACATCCAAGTGTTTAATCAGGGTGCAAGCAGGGCTCCTGGGTAAAAAAGTGTATGACTATAAAAATCGGACCTTTAGCATAGCGGTCCCTTGGGCTTCATGCAGGGATCCCTGGTGTTGCAGTGAGTTGCCCAGGGCTGGTAACCATCAGGTCAGTCGCTCAAAGCCACCAGTGGCTCTTAGGGGGCAAGATGAGGCTCTCCGCTCCCGCAATGAGTTCCAGCCTCAGAAACCCACAGGGCAGTTCTACTCTGCCTTACAGGTTGCCATGAGTCAGAATCAACTCATTGGCGGTGCGTTTGGTGGGGGTCTTTTGGTTGTGTGCTGCATGCTATGCGTAAACTAGCTAAGAAAATGAACGAACAGAAAAGCAAACCCGCGCCATCCAGTAGGCTCTGAATCACGGCGAGGTCACGTGTTACAACGCAGAACCGTTCCAGGGGGTTTTCTCTGCTGAAATCTGTACAAAAGCCGATGGCCAGAGAGAGCGCTTCCTTCCATAGCGCTGCTGGGTGAGTGTGAATTGCTAGCTCTCGGGCGTAGGCGAAGCCAAACTTCAGCATCACCCGGGGATCCTAGGGGACGCCACATAGCTAGTGTGGAGCCCAGCCAAAAAACAACACGAGGCCCAAGTAGCCTCCAAAGAACCTGTGGAAAAGATCAAAAGGTGGACCAAGGGAGGTCAACCTCGGTCTCAAAGTGGGTGTGCAGGTTAGCAGGGAGTGGGGAGCTGCCGACTCACCAAACCCGCGGATGTGATCCAGGGGGTGCGTTTAGTTCATCTGACCTTTGTTGATTCTGCTTGCTAGCAGTAGTTTGCATGTTGGCAGTAAGCACAGGATGGTTTCGCAAAGGCACTGGCCCAAGTGACACGCCGTTTCATTGAATCACCCCTCGGCTGAGTCAGCACGCTGCAACCAGAGCCATGTTATCAAGTTAGTATTCCGTAACCATGATGCACTTTGCAGCCAGAATCCTTCTTTCTTGTAAACGCGGGAGAAGCCTGTGGGTACCGTTGCTGTGATGTTACCTGTCACAGAGGTGCCAGACTAGGTTTTTTACCCACGGGGTTGGGGGCGGGGACCACTGTCAGGGATCATGGCCCGTGGTAAAGGGCGGCGGTGGTGAAGAAACGGGCAGCGAGGGGATCATCGCAGAGTTTCACACTCTCGATTTGGTGCTGCTGCTGCTAGTGGACGTCAGGTCCGTTCTGACTCACGGCGCTGACCTTACAGAAGGAACATAGCCCAATCCTGCCCCATCTCCAGGATGGGGGTGGGGGGGGCGCTTGGAGCCCATGGTTGTGACTGATGGGTCAGTCCGCCTCTTGAAGGGTTTCCCTCATTTCACGGACCCTCCGCCACACCTGGTGGTCTTCCCCAGCCATCTATCTTCTCCGAGGACCTATGCTGAGCGAGCAAGCCGAAGGCTGAGGATCATCCGTCCAGTGGCCTCCTGATGCTCATGGGAGCATCTTCTAAGAACTGACTGAAGAAAAATGTTCTAGTTCTGGGCATACATTTAAAACCGATTTCAGAGCATCCTCCCAGGACCTAAGGTCTGAGAAAACACTTTGTAATTTAGAGTCGATTTGCAAGAGCTCATTACCATGAATTATTCCAAACTCCTTGTGGTGCTTCATTTATCAGCTCTTTGGGTGCATACATAATGAATGGCCCGAGGCAGTTGTATCAGATGCCAGCCTATGGGCAGCATCCAGGGGCCGAGTGTGCCCTGGGGTGTGCCGGCCAAAGGGCAGCACCGGGATTTTCCATTGGAGACACGACCCGGGGCTGGGAAGTGACAGCTCATTTGTCCATTTCTGCCCAACTCCGTGAGGACATGTGACTCTCCGTCGTTTCCAGCCTCGGGAAGCCTCTCATGCCAGAATTCACTGCTCTCCCCTGTTTCTAGATCCCAGTGGCTGGGATCCAATAAAGAGAGCTGGGCCTGAGCAGCCCTGCTGCCCAGTTGAAAGACCTGTCCTCTGTCCTCTATGGGACGTGGCACCCTGGAAAGGGATGGTGGGCCCTGGCTCTCAGGGACTCTGTCCCGATTTATCCAGCCCTCCACACACTCTCTCCCAATTCTCCTTACAATCCTGCCTGGCATGTGGAAGGCGACGGGCTGGGATTAAGACAGGGAAGTACCAGTGGCTACCCAGCAAGATCTGAGCTCAGTAACAGTACAGGTTAGCCCACTGATCTAACTAGCCCGTCTCCTGCACCCTCCTCACCCCAGCCTGTGCTCAGAGGCTTCGGTGCCCAATGGATCAGCTTCCCCTGGTCGCTCATGATCTTGGAGGGCTCAGGGGGCAGGCCTGAGAGTTAAGAGAGGGAAGGCTCTTCTAACAACGATTTAAATCTCCTTGAAAAGACACAGAAGAGATGGTCTGATTACTTTTTCCCTTCGTTTTGGCCCTTCTGTGGCTGGTTTGGTTGGTGATAAAAAGTCTTGCTACAGCTGGAAGTGCCGGTCTTGATTTTGAAGCAAGTGGGAGGGGGTCTTTTAAAATGCTTTATCACTTCACAGCCGGCAAGCAGATAGTTCCAGGAACTAGAGCCATGTCCTTTCCTTAGCAAAGAAATGTGTGGCTTCTTAGATGACACTTTTGCTGGAGAAATACTGACATGCTGTGCTCAGTGCCAGCGTGCTGCGTCTCTGCCACTAGCCAGAGATGTGACGATCACAATGGGGGCTAGGGTGGCAGGGTAACGTGACCCCAGGGAAAGATGTCAGGGAAGAAATCCCCTGGGCCTAGAGGAGACACCATCAGGGCACTTGATAGCTCACTCTCTTGGGCTCTTTAGGGACTCAGACAGCTCAGGGAAAGTGGCCACCTAATCGTTATGCCTCCTCAGGGGTTAGCACAGCTGACAGCCAGACCAAGACAGGCTGGAGCAACCCAACAGGCAGTAAGCTGCTCCTTAGGGTTTCCAAGGCTAGAAATCTGTAAGAGCAGGCAGCATCTTTAGGAGCAACTTGGGGGTGGAGGGGGTTTGAACTGCTGACCTCATGTGTCACTCTCTGTGTCCCACCAGGGCTCCTTATTAACCTGGTAGAACCCAAAGCCCACTGCCATCAAGTCGATTCCAACTCAAAATGACCCCATAGGGCAGAGCAGACCTGTTCCATGGGGTTTCCAAGACTGTAACTCTTTACTCGAGCAGGCAGCCTCATCTTCAGGCTTGTGGGCTTGAACCACTGACCTTGTGGTTAGCAGCCCAGTGCTTAACCCAGTACTCTACCAGGGCTCCCTTGTTAGCATGACAGATCGGCTAAATCAACACTGGAAATCTGTTTTGATAGTCACCCGTTGCTATCGAAGACTCCACAGGCAAAGGTGGAAAATTGATACTTCCACATGTTCACCCCCTCCCCCCACCCCTATATTTAACAATAAAACCAATCCTCTCTGGCAAGCTCTTCAAAACTTTACCCCTAACCAAAGGTATGTTTCCGCTTTCACTGAGACTCGGGGCTTCTGTCTGTCTGACATCATGCTTTTCCGTGTATTTTGCCATCGCTCTAGCCACACGGTGTCTTAGGAAAATTCCACAGTTGTCACGTCTTTGTGGCATCTGCAGCGTTGCCTCACTGTATTGTCAGCCTCTCAACAGACAGGTTTGAAAATATCCCCGTGGCGTCACTCTCTCTGGCAGTTGGCAGGGAGTGCAGACGAATGACTTGCCATTTCTAGAAGCTGGGTCAGAGCCAGGCCCAGGGTCTCGGACAGGCATGCGGAGAAGCAGGCGCCAGGAGCAGGCCGCCCTTCACGGAGTGCTCTCAGGCCTGGGTGTTCCCAGCAGGAGTGGCGCTCGCCAACGTAGCTGAGCCTAGTCCAGCTTCTGTGTCCAGCCTTAGCACCTGGCCGAGTACCGGGGTCTGCACATGGCACACCCACTTTCTAAACATAGTACCTTGGTTTCTAGTAAACATCTAGAGCATTTAGTTCCTCGTTCACAACTCAGAATGGTGCACCTCTGTGGAGGCTTGAGAACAGCCTTATTTACCCACCCAGACTGCCGTGTGCCCCCACAAACTCTGATCAACCCTCTCCCCACACACAGCTGGCCCTTATTCTTCTCATCCCCTCTTCACCCCCCACCCCATCTGGAAGTTTCTATCTTCCTGTGATGGTTACAGTGTTCGGTCCGCACCACAGGTCCTGGCCCCATGCCTATGTGGGCAGATGGGGCAGGGCTTCTGCATTACGTCCCTGCAGTTGTCTGGTGTCCGCTGCAGCAAGCCACCTCTTCGGGACTCAATTGCACTCAACCCCAGACCCTGCTCCTTTAACTGCTGAGCATGGAAGGGTCACTTCTCAGTAACTGAAGGCTTAGCCGTGAGTCCTTGGGTGAGCCTGGCATCTGTTGGGCATGCCGGGACTCCTTTGAACACCCGTAAACACGTCTTCCATTATCTGTAGCCATGGGGACCTGATTCCACCCTATTCATACATGTGGCAAGGCCAGTCCTTGCTGCGTTTTGAGCTAGGAGAACCGCCCACTGTTTTTCCTTGATAGAGAATGTTCTCTTCGGAGAACGCTGACAAAGTGCCATGCTTCTGTTCTGGGGTTATAGTTCCTGTTTGTGACATAACTTCCTACCCACCTCTCAAAAACCCCTCTCTCAAAAGCCTTTTAATCTTTTTGAAAGTGTGGACCACGGACTCCCCAAGGAGAGCATTTTGATGCATTCAGGATGCCTG